GTATGTCATAGATCAAAACGTTTTCGCAGAAAAGCAGAACAGAGTGTTTTGTTTGTGCTTCCAAACCATAATGGAAGAACAATTTTGCTGGATAAGTTCATTTTATAAATAACAGGCAATCTTTCCCTAAACAACCCAGTTACAGAGCCGCCAAATGTGCAGTATCAACCTTTTTTTTTTTCACTTCACATACCACTCTTAGGTAGACATACTAACACACATGGAATTGACCAAAGAGACAGGCTGAGAACCTGCCAAAGATGGTCTCAGATGAGATGGTCGGCTTCTGACCCAGCATTGCCTGGTGTATCTGACACTAATGAATGTGTCGTCAGAGAGGTACGTTGGAGATGGTTGAAAATGAGGAGAGTCATTAAACGTATTTCAGTCAGTGAGTGACATGAGAAAAAGTTGAGAAGTAGACCTGGTTTCACTGCAAAGCTTTAGAAGTGGTAGTGAAACCGATTAGGAGGCTGTTGTCTGAGTCCCGATAAACAACGACAAGAGACTGAATTAGGGCCAAAGGAGAGGCAAGCCTTCAAAGACATCATAGAGGTATAAGTGACAGGATTTGGCAATCAATGAATATAGATCGCGAAGGAGTAGAGCCTCAGGATGACATCATTTGGCCCGCTGGTGATGCTTTTAGTTAAGACAGTAAGTAGGGGAAATAAATTTTGAAGAGAATGCAAAATGTAACTCTGGGGCTCAGGTGAGATGCCTGGGCTGAAGACAGAGGACTAAGTATCATTCGAGTTTAATTTATGTTAAGATTCTTCACCAAAGCCATGGAGAATTTAAAAAAACATGGACGTCAGTCTGAATTCTAACAACAACAACAAAAATAGTTAAGAAGCAAGTACTGCTTGGTGGCAGGAAGGAGATAGTGTCCAGAGAGATGAGATAATTCATAATCTTGAATGTCAAGGATGAAAAGAATTTCAAAGAATGATGGGTACAAATTAGTGACTATTGCTATTAATAGGTCTTTGCTGAAAAGAAGCCATTGAATTTGATGGTTAGAAATTTGTTGGTCAAAACTGGAAGCAACCTAAATGTCCATCAGAAAGAGAATAGGTAACCCAATTGTGCGTCTTCATACCATGGAGTACTACTCAGCAACTAAGCTGAATGACTGTTAGCATATTCAGCAACATGAGTCAATCTCACAAACATTGTGTTGAATGAAAAAACAATCATTCAAAAAATATATACTATTTAATTCTACTTACACAATGACCAAGAAGAAGCAAAACTAATCTATGGATGACAGAAGTCAGAAAGAGGGGCTGGGTGTGGTGGCTCATGCCTGTAAGCCCAAGTGCTTTGTGAGACTGAGGCAGGAGGATCACTTGAGGCCAGGAGTTTGAGACCAGCCTGGGCAACATAGCAAGATCCTATCTCTACGAAAAAAATACAAGAAGTAGGAGGGCATGGTAGTAGGCACTCGTAGTCCTAGCTACTTCAGAAGCTGAGACAGGAGTTTCCCTTGAGCTCAGGAGTTCAAGGCTGCAATGAGCTGTGATCATGCCACTGCACTCCAACCTGGGCAACAGAGTGAAACCCTCCTCTGAAAAAGAAAGAGAGACAAAATGAGAGAAAGATAGAGAGGAAGGAAAGAGGGAAGGAAGGAAGGAATGAGAGGGAAGGAGGGAGGGAGAGAGGGAGGAAGGAAGAGAGAGAGAGAGAAAGAGAAAGAAAGAAAGAGAGAGAGAGAAAAGAAAGAAAGAAAGAGAAAGAAAGAAAGAAAGAGAGAGAAAGAAAAAGAAAGAAAGAAAAGAAAGAAAAGAAAGAAAAAGAAAGAGAGGAGGAAGGAAGGAGAGTGAGGGAGGGAGAGAAGGAAGGCAGGGAGGCGGGGAGGCAGGGAGGCAGGGAGGCAGGGAGGAAGGGAGGGAGAAAGGAAGCCCCTGTACCCCTGTGAGTGGTAGGAGGGAATGTGATGGTGGAAAGAAGTGATATTTAAGGAGCACAGAAAACTTGATGTGAAGAAGTGGGTTTTTTTTGTTGTTGTTACTGTTTTGGTCAGGGGTCAAAGATGAGACATTGAGCACCTGAATTTGCTTGCTTCTAAATTCTCAGTAATTTTCAAAGAGACATTTCTTTACAAAAGCCAAAGTCTATCCAGGGAGAGAGATCACAACCATAACATTTTCCAGGCAGAGAAATGGAAACATGTAGTAGAGGACTTGAGCACATACACACACACACACACACACACACACACACACACACACATACACACACACACACACACACAGAATCTAAGTGGTCACTGGTTGAAGTCATA